AGAGCTGATTTCTTTTCAAACTCATTTTGTTAAAGATAACTGTAGCGATCATCATAGTGTTTCCAGCCATGTGTGAGTGTACTGAACGGATTTTACACGCCCTCTAACATCTAAAATGAGTAACTAGACATAGAACACGAGAGCATAAACTTGTTTTAATAAGTTAAAATCATCCAATTTTAAAATCTTACTCATTGGGTTGTAGGAGTTATCAAGAGGAAGGTTCCTCTGGTCAATACGGTCAAGACCCCATGAGGCGACGGCCTGAGTGCGGACAACACCATCCTCCTCAACGTGTACGACTCCATCGAACCTGCGGAGCTGTAAAAGTCATAGAAATAGGTTGATAAATTTTCACGAATTATCCCATCGAAAAGAAGAAAATCTTTTTTTGTTTAACCCATAGCCTGCCATGAGGCTGCATGCACGCTACCTATTGAGTGCCATGTGCGTGCAAGGGCGCATTCGTAGTAGCAACTATTGTTCATGCTCATTGGGCTATGCTGTGTGTTTCGCACTCGCCATTCATAGAACCATCGCGTTAATCAGATTATCTCCAAAACAACCTGGCACAGTGGGGATTACAGCAAAATGTCTGTTGGCATACCACTATGATAATGATAATAACAGTTGTGTTTTTATTAAGTATCACAAAATAAATTCATTGACATGCATGAAAAGAAAGGGGTTAAACCCTCTCCCACAAATTTAAATTTGTTCATCCCCGCTAGGGAATGCTCAAGCGCCTACGAGGTATTTACTATTACTTTGGATTTGTCCGAGCGGACGGAAAGTGCTGAAAGTATTCAAGGAATTATTTCTCCTAAGGTACACGTTTACTGCATCTGGGTTGAGAGTCGCAAATGTTTATTGTTTGTAACTTACGAACTCGACGGCATCTTCGCTGAGCTCGAGAGAGAGGGTCTTCATGTTCCTGAAGGTCTTGAGGACCTTGGCGAGCCTGAAGCGACGAGCAGAGAAAGCATCCTTGAGACGGCTACCGAAGTCATTCACGTCGAGACTATCCTGATGTCAGAAAAGTAAAAGAGGGGAGGGTGATATTGACACGGTGTTATGAATATGCATAGATCTATGAGCCATGTTTTGAATATTCATGACTTCTGGTTGAGCAAAGGAGAAAGCAAAGATGAGACCAAGCATGACGAACTTTGCCTTATTTCTCTCAATATTTCACTGTTTCAGTGATCATTTTGATGGTCTTAGGTGGGAGGTGGGATTTATTTTGTCAGGTTTGCATATTAGAAAGTATACGGCTCTAAAAATATCATTCATATTTAGAAGCCTGAAGAAAAACAAATTATAATGTATGATGGACTGTATATATGAAAAGGACTAGTGCCAACGGTTGACTACGGGATGACTCGAAACGAAATTTACTCGAAGTATACGAAGTAAATAATAGATCAACTTGAATTGCTTAACTGCAACAGTTTTAGTTTTTGTCAACTGACGAACATCAGGAGAGATAGAACTAGAACCCCAAATTTAACAGTAAAGAATTGTAACGATAACATGTGATTCATAGAGACACAGCAACAACACAAAATTAAGAGAGAAATACATGTAATAATAGAAGGGCGAGAGAGGAATACAAAAGAAAAGAGAGAAGAGTTTTAACTTACGTCGATCATAACAAGGTACTTTCCCTTGATGGTTTCCTTGGCACGCTGGAGAGGAGCGATGCCATAGGCAACAGCCAACAGGGCGGTAAACACGATCAATCCACGCATTTTCTGAAATAAAAAAAAAATATCTTTCTTATAATTTGTGTAATAACTTGTTGTAAAAAAGACATGGTATTTGAATATGATTCTTGGTAAATCAACCTAACCCTTTTTAGCACCTTTTCGACATGCTGGTTTTGGTAGAGCTATGGAATCACACTCGAATACTCAAAGTTTACATGGTTATACCATATCTTCTTTACGGTTTAAACTGTATAAAATGAGATCTAAATATATAAATATAGTATAGGCCTGTATATTACAATGAATAATAAGTTGCGCTGCATGAGAATCGTGTTATAAAGTCTTTGATACACTGAATATTGTTTTATTTTCCTAGAAGAAACATTTGAACATATTAAAACTGTATAGCCAAAGAGGAATAGGCCTACAAACGTAATTGTTTGAGTACTTGCCAACCAAGGGAGGAACATCTTCCTTCAACAATAATTATTTGTAAGTGTTAAAATGGTATTACAACTCGACTGCACCAAATTAACGCCATACAAAATAATGTTGAGGAGTAAGAAACGAGTATATACTCACGGTTGTGGTGTCTTCTTTGTTGAACACAAACTGGAACAGATGCTGAAACCGTTCGAACCTACCCCTTTTATAGTTTCTACAGACGTACAGAACTTCTGCACGTGTCTTATCATTCTGGTCACATACGTCATAACCGCTGGGATTAATTCAATGGGTTCTCTTTTGTTTTAAGAAGCTCATATTTGCACAACGTATTTTCGATATATTTTCGGACGCCTTAATCCATCACAGTTGGTCATTTTCCTACAGGGCTTACGGATAAAGTGTACATAAAAGTATAATTCTTTTTTTTCTTTTCCGTATTCATTGTTCAATTCCAATGTATAAACTAATTTTATGAGATCAGAAGTAAAGTCCTGTTCTGTAGTAACATCTGTTCGAGTTGATGGGGAAAAACGAATAGGTCATACAGGCAGCATATTTTTGGGTTGCCGTATCCAATGTAAGATCGTTGACTTTATAAGATTATGTTTAAATTGTTCAAATTTGTTAACAAAACATATCATGCTACTAAATTACATACGTAAAATGATCGACCGACCTCCGTTCCTTAGTATATATACAATCACATTTTGATTATGTTTTAAGCTTTCATAGTTGTAAATTTTGACTTTGGGATGAAAATTATATGATGTATATAATTATATTTCTGCAAGAATCAATGTTACAAGAAGATATACTTTGATCATTCATAAAATCACGTTCAGGTAGTTAAAATGCAAGATAAATGTAAAAATGTTAGTATTAAAATGATTGCTTTATTTTCAAAGGCAGGAATAATGTTGAATTCTACCTGAGATGCATATCAAGTTTAGTTGAAATGTAAGCCTACATTGAAATAACAACCACATTTATATGACCGTGGAACAGAAACAGAGATAAGTGATATAGAAATGACAAAGAGAAGAGGTTGGGAAGGTGTATGGAAGTAGACAAAACTGCGGTTGGAGAAGAAGAAATGAGTTATTTGAAAGAGGCGTGCATGTAGAAAAGCATTACCAAGGTTGCAATTAACCAATTGTATATGGGAACCAGAAGGCCCATGTGTAAAGCATATGGTGATGAGAGAATTCAGTATCGAACGGGTTAAATCCAAATATTCATCAATGGATCAATTTCAGTTTGGATTATGTGAATTATATTCTAATTTGTGTAACAATACTGTGTTTCTTATTATCAAAAATGAATTTTCGTAGTAAAACGTAACCTGTTATTGTACATGTGTGAAGTTGGAGTAATTCGCTATATACATGTGGTAAGCCTCGTTTTATTGTTCCTTTTTCCGAGATAATGTTTTAACGACCGCTAATTGTCGAATAGTTTTCTGCTTCTCTTTCTCTGTAGATTTGTAGTGAGTAAATTCACATAATGTACAAAAGTAATAGAATTCGACAATTTAAATAAACTGTACATGCTCCCCTCTCCCTCGTTCGATCTCTCTGTTTCTCTCTCTCTCTCTCTCTCTCTCTCTCTCTCGCTCTGTCTGTCTGACTCTCATTCACTGTCTCTCACTAGTTGATATATGCTAGAAATTAATGAAGACCCAATTTTATTATTCTTAAACTGACATTTGAATGAAAAGTGTATTTTAAAAAATATATATATATAATTTTTTTTCTTTTTCAAATAATTTGTATGTGAATCGTCCATTTATTAATTGTGTAAGACACCACTTGCATCAGCATAGTGACCCAAACTGAAGCCACTTGCGGCGATGTATGTGTTGTCTGTTGTCAGTCTTGTATCGGCCTCGTGTGTAAGACTAAGGTATGTTTGTGTCATGACCACTACCTTTATTTCCTCATACTCACCTTACCCTAACCCCTAAACATTTTCCACCCCTTGTCGCCATCTGACGACATTCCCGACTTTATCGTGTTTAATTACACTGATAAGAAATATATCTGATTATATCCTTGACGTATGTGCAAATACGACCGTCCTTTAGAGCTCAAACCATCTTCCCATAATTCCCATCACTCCCTCAGGAGTCGCAGCTCTCATCCCAGCCACCAATCGGTGACCAACAAGGGCTGGTTATTATCCCATCTTCAACAACTTCTTGGCTGACAAGTTTTTATCATTCGCATTTTTTTTATCAATGTTTTACAAAGAGAATTCAACGTATTGTTTGTAATGTTTGAGATAGTGATTAATTACAAATAACACTGAACGTCTTCAAAACAGAATATATGCCGGATAGTTCAATATAATGTTTGTTGATAAACTACAAATCATTGTGTCTGTGTAATGCTTTATTCAAGTTTTAAGGAGAGAAAATTGAGAGAGGGGGAAGAATGAAGGGAAAAGAAGAAAAAAGATTAAAGGAAGACAGAGTCGAAAGGGACACAGAGAAAGGGGGTCGGAACGAGAGGGAGAGAGGGAGAGAGAGAGGGGGGGCAGGGACAGAAGAGGAAGGGAAGGGAAGGGAAGGGAGGGTAGAGAGGGGAAGGGAGATAACGGAGGGAGAGAGTGAGAGGTAGAGATAAATGGAGTTAGGCAAGGGGAAAGAAGGAACAATATGAAGAGAATGAAAAAGAGCGAGAGCGTGGTAGACAGACATCTGTAAATATCTGTAAATAGACAGAGAGAGGGGAGAGAGAATCCAGAGAGGGTGAGGGAGAAGGAGTAAGAAAGGAAGAGACAGGCGAGGGAGAGGGGGAAGGGAGAGTGACGTAAGAAGTAAACGGGAGAGGAAAGGGACAACTGTAAACTGGGTAAAATCAAACTCTTTTGATTTATTAATTTTGTCATATTCCATCCAAATTTCTTTGAAAGACCTTTTCCAGATGGTATTTTACAATCATATCAATAATTATGTCAACATTATATGAGCTAAGAGCTAATCATCACAAACTATGTCCGTTCATTGTCCACTTAATAACAATCTTAGTTGGTTGGTTTGTTAGTTTTACCTGTATGCTAACAAAACATGTGTACGCTTGTAAGTAAGCAACCAGGGGACCGACGGTTTTAAGTCCTCTCCGAAGGACTTGGTAATGCGGATTAATGCCTTACCAAAGGGCACTAGCGCATCGACTTGGTTTCGAACCCGGGACCTCCCGGTTACGAGACCATGCACTGCTCTACCACTGACCCATCGCGCCATCACTTTATTATCTTGAAATAAATAAAAGCAGAAATAAAAGCAATGAGGAATAGCTGAATAACAAGGTCCAGACATGTAGAGTAAATCAAACTTAAGAACGATCCAGATCCAACGTGCTTCAAGTGACGATCCCCGTTTTGTAGGACGTGTTCTACCCAAAATGCAACGCGTTCTCTTGGATACTGGGGCTTGGACTTGAAGGCGTGCGACGCTTTGAGGGCGTTTTTCTGATAACTGAAAGAGAGAGAGAGAGAGAGAGAGAGAGAGAGAGAGAGAGAGAATGGGGGAGTGAGAGATGAATGGACAGAGAGAGAGAGAGAGAGAGAGAGAGGGGGACAATGAGAGAGAGAGAGAGGGGGTATTAAATAATGAAGATTGTTTGTATTGCGCTGTGTTATATCTGTATATGTTATCTTTATAAACATGTAGAATATTATAGAACATATGAATCATAATAGATTACATTTACTAAACGATATATCAGACAAAATGTAGATTAATGCAAATATTGTACCGACAGAGCATAGCTAAAGATACTGTGAGAAATGTATTAAACATAATGTAGGTTTATACAGAAAAAGGCAACAAGAGAAAGTCGTAAAAACATATTTTCATGGGAGGTGCGTCGGACAAAGTTTGCAGAAAACTACCGACAAAAGTTGATTTAATCATTAATGTTTCAATGTTCAACAAGGCCAAACAGAGAAAATGGATAGGCCTGTATATTTGAATGAGATGGGGGGGAGGGGGATGTCAAATACGTCACCCCATTCTAGTGATGGGTATTAAATCACTGTGTCGCATTATTCCCTTACTTTAATGATTACCTTTGACATCGCATATTCTCCATCAGCTGTGAATGTCGATATCTATGCAAATTTTCGTGACTTAGGCGTAGTTTCCATTGATACTCTTTATGTATTTATTTTTTAAATTTGCCTTGAAGTCGATACGAAGAAGTTGTTAATGATGACAGCTTTGCGGAATAAACGGGTAATTACACCCTCCCCCCCCCCCCCCCCCCCCCCCCCCCCGTGAGTGCAAGTGTGTCACGTTACCTTTCCTCGTGCGTCAGCTTCAAGACTGCATCGTACACGTCATCAGCTGTGAATGAGTGAATGTCAAGCACGATACCCATGCCGATTTTCTGGACTTTGGCGCAATTTTCATGATGGTCAGATGACATCAAGGGAAGGCAAAGCATCGGAATACCATGGTAAATCGCCTCCATAATACCACAACGCCCTCCCGTGGTGATAAAAGCAACAGTTCTGTTGAGACCTCGAAATAAATTTACCAGATTTAAGATTTTTACTTCCTGAAATTCCTGCAAATGCACTGTTACCCCTAAAGATAGAACACATGTTTCTTACCTCTTTTCATGATATGATTGTTAAAATATGATTTAATCTTATTAGACAAAGTTTGACATTTTCTAAAAACTTAATTACTCAAACTTTATTGATCAATAAAGTCCATAGAAGTAATACATTTCATCCATGAATAATAAATTGTATTATCATAATCATTTCATGAAGAGAGGTTATCGGAAAAATGTAACAGTGTTTACACTTTACAGGCTTAGCTTAGCTTGAAGGCCATTTCGGTGTAGTTAGTGAGTGTGAAAGCGTGAACACTGGCCTATCTTTACTCTAGTGACCATACTTAGTTGTTCTCTGACCCTTTTTCTCACCTAAATTATGAAAAGCTATTCTAATTATACTCAAGAATAAATGTACAAGAAACAATTACTCCCGGTTTACACCAGGCGTCATTTGCTGAAGTTAGACTGCATCAGGAACTGGCTCAATGTTTGACAACTGGCACCATGACCCACGTATTAGGAAAATATAGTAGGGACTTTTTCATTAAAGGTAATACAAAGTGTTGGTACGGCATGAATTTGGTTCCAATGAACATATTGGACGCATATGCGATCCTACAATGTTCAGTGATCGTTGTCGCGGTTAAAATCGAGTCTTAAGTGATGAAATTGTATACAATAAGGTGTTTAAATTGTTTAGCTTCCTCTCAAGGTCAAGATATTAATTAAGCTTTGAAATAATGTTTCTTGACTAAAATCGACCGATTTGCTATTTAATTCCCGTTTGGAAATTATATTTCACAACTGCATATTCTGAGATGTTCATGGTCGCAGCTAACATTGGATGGCCGTATAGCTATTTGAAATTTATCAAAATTTACCGGAAGCACCGGTTAATTTTCATATTCAATTTTTCTCAAAAGCAGAAGTGTTTTAAAGGCTAATTTTCTAGTGCTTATAATACATCATCAGGGGCATCCAAATATATCAACTTTTTAAAGAATCGCTATCCAGCCATTTTCAAAATTTCCCAAAACTCTGCTTTACCTTTAACAAAACAAGACGAAATAGACATATTTTAGAATGAGAAATACCAGTCGCAAAATGAGAATAAAAGTAAAACAATTAAGAAAGAAAACAGTTAACAGAAAGAAATAGAGTAAAGCGTATGAATATGATTTTTAAAATCAGTCTTACCAAGAAGATCATTCATATCGTTGCTTTTCATCCAGCCGGTATAATGGATATTATCGGTTGGTGATGGCTGCAAGCTCGGTCTGTCATTCCGCCAGAGTGTCTGGAAGGGCAGTCTGGACAGCCCTGCAACCAAGGTCTCCTCGGTGGTTCCCTTCAGCTGACGGGCAATGGTGCTGATGGAAACAATGATGTGCCCTTTCGAACTACAATGAGCTATAGTCTGACGAAGTCCCTGATTATCCGTAATTACAGGCAGAGAAAATAGACTTCATTATCATGACCATTTTATATTGGGGAGGGGTGAGGCAGACAAAAACGAAAGGGCCGATGGTTTACCAATAGTAGGCTCGTATCTTCCTATAGAAAGTTCAACGCATCTTTAAAATGTCCTAATATCCTTTATCATTCTAAGTTAGTAGGGGTAGCATTTTTTTCCCTTCTATGGTTTCATAGTTAATCTAAATAGAAAAGTAGAGGGGAAAAGGAACATGCCCGAACTTTTCGTTTCTGTTTTCGAGCTCAAATATTGCTCTGTTTGTGAACACGAAATTGGAAATATTATCGTGTAAAATATTGTGTCCCTAAGTACGAGCAAATCCAGAAACAATCAAAGTATGCTGTAATTTGATTAGCTTTCTCAGATCAATTAACAAATTGTAAAGCGGTTTATCATTCAATGAAAATTCCCCCCCCCCCCAAAAAAAAAAATATATATATATATATATATATATAATAATAATAATAATAATAATAGTAATATATTTTTTTACATACATATACATATATTATTTTTTATCGCACTTACTTCATCAACAATAGGACGAGGTGGGTGGGATGTGAGATCACCTAGCATGACGAAGTTTGGTGGCAGAGTTAACGGGTAATCAAGGACCGGGTCAGCGTTCAGAAACCATAGAGACGCATTGGTGTATGAAGACGTGAATTCGGAGACACTTCCTAACGTAGAGATGCCATATTTACTTGCAATTTCGCTGTAGTACCCCCATAACCTGCGATAAAATAGATGGAGACTCATCATTTCCGCGGTAAACTGGAGTCTCCCAAGGATAGACGTTTGGTCCATATCCATCTTCTGGGGAAACAGAGCATGGGGTAGACTACTTGGAGAAACGACGAGAAAATTCGCGGTCGGAATCCCGCCAAGAAGGTGGGACAGAATCATATGACAAGGACCAAACGACTCACTGATGATGATGTCAAAGTTTAGATTCCTGAGGTGCGCCATGGTGGTTTGGTTTGCCAGAAGTGCCTCACAGAGGATCCTCTGAGGCGTCAGGAGACCTAGTAGTTGCTGCGTGCCAACGACCCTGCTTGCACTCATAGACGAGATCTTGCCCTTCAAGGAACGGCACTCGTCGATCACGCCCTCAGATAGGACGTCCACCCTCGAGAAACCTCTGAGCTCGTGGTCATCCTCTACACCATCATGCTCGTCTGGTTGGAGTATGGTGACAAGACTCACGTGATAGCCTTCTGACCTCAGCACGTGACCGAGTCTTAGGCCAAGTTTGAATAGACTTGTCTTTACACCGCATCCCTGAAACATCAGCAATATGCGTCCTCGGCCGCCATTTTCTCGTTTTGAAGGTAAAACACTTACGCGTTGATCATGCGCATTAGATGCTGGGAAAGACAAGACAAGTTTCAAGGCAAGCAATACAACGAATGTCCATCGGAAATGCATTATTGGATAGTTAAAACTCCACATTCATGAACGGATTATCCTTCAGTAGAAACTTTGACATACATTACCCGACAGCGAGATGAATATACCATGCACATATGCATGCAGTATACCAACCGAAAGCCTTCATCACGCACAATTTGACTCGCATCAAATTATTCTTGAAGGTCTACGTGTATGCGTCACTTGGTACCAGCAAGAATATCATTGGAAACATTAGAGCACTTAAGAGTCACATTACCAGCAGAATTCCTTCACCTCACTGCTTGAACTTCCTGTGTTTTATTAAGTTGTTTTTCTTCTTTTTTTCAGGCGTGTATCATTCAGTTATGAATAATTACGCCTTTAAAGACCGTCAATACTACTGGACCAGAAGGGATTAGACCACACAGCGAGGTCACTGACAGGTGGCTATCTCATTAACTCAGCTCTCAACGAACATAAGAAAAAAGAGGATCATGGGGGACCAACAGGCACTGATTGGGGAAGTTTTCTATATAGAGGGAGCATGTAGCTACAAGTAGGACGGTGGGGCTGTTGTTGTTGTTGTTGTTGTTGTTTTAGTCTTAAGGGCGTGTGTCATTTAATTATGAATATTTACGCCGGGGGAGGGAGAGAGGCTTTAAAGTATTACTTTCGCCTCTTTTCAGACTTTAAACACATTATTTCAATATTTCCACGTTTGTCTTCATTCAATTTTGGTTGCCAGGTCTACCACTGTAATTATATTGTTGAGAATTACTAGAAACAAAGAAATACAAATTAGAAGAATAATTATGATTATTGTATTCTTTTGTGATACATCTATGGTAATGTCTTTGAAAATGTAATGTTTTGTTGGTTAATATTTTAAAAGTCTTGTCTTTCACCTGTCTTAATCATTTGCGTCCATTGATAATGATTTATTATCACTATGTTTATCATCAATATTGTTGCCATTTTTATTATAGGTAGTAGTAGTAGTAGTAGTAGTAGTGGTGTTTTCTTTGCCCATTCCACCCCCTTTAAAGGTACTATGTCCCTTTTGCAGCCAACCTCAAATTCTGTAGAACTTTGCAGGAATTATGAATATGTCATGTATGTCCTATCTGTGAAAATTTAAACGTCAGCAGTGTCCTCATATTCAAATTATGCAAGGAAACCCGTTTACTTGCTAGACTTCACTGTCAGACACTATTGAGTGACTGACTGGCTTTTTTTCTTCTTTGGTAATAACATACATGAAAAGAGTTGTAAAGGGTACATGAGCATTTGTCTACATCAATAACCCACTTCTTGTGATGGCCAAGATTAAACTGATTGAATCTTTGCGCAGCATAAAACGTATGACCATTCTGTACAATTGTCTGAAAATCAAGACTATTACTTTTGGGCTCTATAGCCCTAAAGTCGATTTGACAACTAATAGTCATTATTTTCCCACTTGAAGACATTTTGAAGCCCCACCTTTTTTAGGGAAGTTCTAAAGTAGTATTATCTTTCAAATGCAGTTGGAATTTAACTTTTTCATTTTTTTGGCCTGCAAATGGGACATAGTACCTTTAATCATCCTTATCTATCTTTTGAAGCACTGTATTACACAGTTTACACTTGCTCGTTTTTGTAGAGCCGACATGAATACCAACATCCCTTTTATCAGAGGGAAGAGGCTTAACATTTCAGAATGTGATATCATTTGAGAGAGAATGAAAGACGAACAAAATAAACAGGGCATTCGCTTCTGAGCCATATTCTTTCATCAAATTTTATTTGATCTTCTATACTGTGCAGAAAATAAACAATTGTTCATATATTAATTTATACATACGTGTGAGTTTTTTGTTCATGATTCTCAAAATATAATAAATCCAGAGAATAACAATTACATAAATGTAGATAATTAAATGTCATACATATACACACAAACTTAAAAAGAAACAGTTATCTGTCATTTGCAAGACTAACAGTACATTTTGTTCATTCACAAAAAAATTATTATCCACACACATTTTACATAAGATAACAATTCACTTTAGTTGAAATAAAAAATATTTCTATAGACATGAATAATCAATACTATATTTCGTGTTAAAGAAATATTACAAATATTAACAAAATGAAGATTGCATTAAATAAATTTAGATAAGATCTTAGAATGGGTCAGACTATAGGCAGCATATAAACTACACATGATATTATTTGAACAGAATTCAAAAGATGTTTTATATGAACCTTCAATGAGTATTAAGCCTTGCAATTACTCTTCAAAAAAAAATGTTAAAGCTCGTTTTTATGTATAAACTGGTATCATGGATCCCATTGGTAATTGGTCCCACTCTATCATAATCTAGGAATGCATTTTTATGTGGGTTCACTGAGAATCAGACAATATAAATGGCAAATACGCGGAACTTCAAGCAAAGTATAACCAACATAATCGCAAAGACTTTCTAGAAATCATAACACAAGGTCACTTTCATACCCTTCAAAAAAGGAAATGATCCCCTTAATCGCATTGTAACATTGATAAAGCAACGCATTTTCTCAGAAAAACTGAGCAACCCGTATTTGGTGAAATGTAGAATAAAAAGTTGTCGAATATTACGAGGATGAAAGATATATTTATTACTTAGCAGGTACGTATAGAAAACGTGTTTTTCAGTGGCAGTCATTTCAATCTTTATTTCTTTGGGAAAAAAATGTGAGTGTCACCTTGTACCAATTGAGTCAAACATATGTAACGTTATGATTGTTTCTTTTTTGTTCAGACTTTATCCAATAAAATAGCCTTTGGAGGGCTAAATATTATTTACTTTTTTATCAATACCCTATAGTATACCCATGGAAAACATGTTCGAATTACATAATACGTCATTCTAAGATTTGTCACTTTCAGAAGGTAGTGTGAAAAGGCTACTGAAGTTCCCTTAGATTGCTTTTTAGAAATTCTTTTCCGCTGTGCTTATGCATCCTCTGCAGGCACGTAGCCACGGGGGCACGGGGGGCACATGCCCCCCAAAAATTTCCAAGATCGGTTGAACTTTTTTTAGACCCCTTTTTTGACCTCGATTGATTACATGTGCCCCCCCCCCCCCCCCCACCCCCAAACATCAAACTCTGGCTACGTGCCTGATCCTCTGACAAAAATTAATTGAAAAAAGAGAAAAAAAATTACCTGTGATCTTTAACCACCAAGTGAAGAAAGAACCGGAAAAAACAACCTAGAGGTCTTAAGACTAGTTAAGAAGTGGTATGTTAGTGGTATGTTAAACCACCCCAACCCTAAAAAATAAGCAAAATGAAAGTCTCATGTTAAAATGAATGGCAAGTGAGGAAACCCCTCCTCCCAAGACCTTCCTCCCCCCCCCCCCCCCCCTCCTCCCCCTATATAAAAATCTAGTGGCACACAACTAAGGCCTGTACATATACTTTGAGATCGATGAATGTTGATATTAGCCAGATTTGTGACAGTACTGCACTTATGTCATTCATATTTGCCAGTATTTTCCTTTTGGGTTTTTTTTTAAAGGCAGTTTACTGAATGAAATCTGAATTAGGCTTTACAGACCTTGACAAGAGATCAACATCCATCCATCCATCCAAAAGATATTTGATATAGCACCTTTTCCTTGCAGTTACAAAGCGCTGCACACACATTTCGACTTGTTTGTTCAACAAGACACACATAGATGTACATTGCTACTTAAAAAAAAAACATTCATACACAATCAAATGTCTTTATTATTAAAGTGAAAATTTAAATACACATATACAAAAAAAAACTTGTCCAGTCATTGTTCATAAGGCTCAAGAAATTAGTCTCAACTTAAAGAAAAATTTGAAGGAAATACAAAGTTTTGGAAAATTTTACAATTTCATCACTTTAGACTAGATCATTGAATATTGTAAAATTGCATATGCTTCCAGTTTGTTCATTTGAACCAAATTCATGACCACCGTACCAAAACTTTGTATTACCTTTGAATGACGTAATTTTCAATGGCAGGAATTGGAAATAGATTTCATTCATAATACCATATACATATAATTAGAAAAACAGTATATTTGTAATACATGTAGTATTAGAAAAAAAATTGCACTCTTTATGTATTTAACGAGTAGTTCATAAATAAACTGGCAAAATTTAATGCACTTTTCAGATTTGATTGTTCTTAGAAACACGACACGATTTGAGTACTTTTAAGATTTGATCACTTTGAAAAAATTGCAGCTTCTTTTCCTTATATGATTACTTAAAGATAGATAGATAGATAGATAAGTGGATTTTATTGGAATCTTTGTGTCAGGCAGTTAAAAACTTAAATGAACATAAACTACCATTAAAAAATATTCAAAGAACATTTACATCATATTATGAGATACCAATAGGCCACTTCCGCAATGCACACCAAAGGATAGATCATCATATGCATCTTGAAATTAAAAATCTATTTTCTCTATGCATTACAAAAGATTCATGTACCATTGTCTCACAATTTAAGTGCATTTTTAAAAGGACCATTCAAATATTTGTAAATGAGTATGAATATTTTCATCAATTGGCAATTCTTATCCTACTGGGGCACATTGCCTGTTAATCATGAAATACTATACAAATTGTATTTTGTTCTTAAAAACCTTTGTTCATTGCATTTTGAGTTGATCGTTTTATTCAGTGTACAATGCCCATTATAAACAGAAATATCTAACATCTGGAAATTCAACAATTCAAAAGAGCACAAAAATGTCCAGATAAAAAACAAGATAATTATGGGCAAGAGTTTTCCAATACTAAATGAGCACATCTCGACCTCAAATTTAGCACAATGAAAAATATAGCACTGTTTAATCTCTCGCACACATTTTGAATGAGGAAAACATCACCTAAAATACAAAAATAACCTACATATCTACATACAGAACAGGTCTTCAATCATAAAACTATGTTAAAATAACTTTTACAAATACACTTTACCAAAACTATTTGATCAGTTTCGTAAGTTCATATACAATGATAATTGCCATTGGACTATAATAAAGGCACTAAAGATGTCTAGGATTTGTCCACACATTCTATATGTGTTGAACGTTTTTCAAAACATTTTATATGGTAGAGGAAAAAATGTTACTGACAATTTTCGATTGATATTGCATTTTGATAGCATCAGGCATTCTCAGGCAGTATTTTCAGACAGCATGAAGTGATAAATTAGATCTCTACATGAATATAGACCCTTAGGCCTACTGCATGTATCTTTTCATCGTGATAACCCTTAAATGTTGCCTTGCAGTATGTCGATTGTCAAAAATGGTGCATTTTCACTGATATTAATGTACTATTATGAATTTATGTATCCATGTTTTCTTTTATGATTATAAAAGAATCTGCTATCCAGGTACCTGGCCGTGAATGATTTCTTATCAATAAACCATTTTAACATAAAGAAATTTTAAAAAGTGATACAGAAAAGTGAACTACAGGTTATCATACAAACAGATGAATAGGAAACAAAATTGAAAATGTATTCTTGACATCATAATAATCCAAGGAATGTTTCATAGCATATTAATCTATAAGATGACGAAATAAAAAGAATCTGTATTGATCCTGGAAAAACTTTGAACCCTTTCCAAATTTGTTTTCTTCTTTTTATGTAGATTATTCCTATATATTCATCCTCCTGTTTTAAAATGTACCAATCACCCCAAAATACTTTTGTGTTTGACAAGAATGTCTGAAATCAACCTCAAAATAATTCAATGGAAGTATGGGCTAATGGATAGGGAGTATGAAAAAAATAAAGAATAACATAAAACGGTGCACACAATACGCAAGTTGTGCAAGTCTTATCCTAAGCGCTTACAGGTGCATCAAGTAGTCTTACCAACCTGTCACTTATTTAGTAACTGAGAGTGTATTTAACCTTCCAACATCTATTTATAGAAGAAATAAATGATTGAATATGGCGATATCGAACCCGTAACATTCAAAACTTTTTATTTTGGGGTGATTGGCACACTTTAAAATACTTGAAATTGTAAAAGGCAAAAGACTATCGCATGATCTCTTGATACAAAACACCATTGTGTTATGCTGCCCTCTGGAGTATCTTTATGTTGATTCAGTGTGCATATATGACCTATTCACCTATTTTGGCACTGTTCAGTTGTTCCTCATGGTTTAACGATAATTATATTCAAAGGTAAGTACCTGTATTATGGTTGAAACATAATTTTCTTTGTTGCAGAATATAGCGCCTAATGAAATTTCTCCCCCCCCCCCCCATAACAATACTACCTAAATCTAGTTACTAGTTAATCCAGTTATCTAGCTAGTTAGGATTTCAGAGATGTGTATCTTAAAGACCCTATCCAATGAAATTACAACGTGATATGAATGGAAAACTCCCGGCCCCCCCACTTAGAGGTCGAAATGACCGCATGCGTGTTGCCAAAATGTCCGGTAAAGGGGTACTTTTCGTGCGACAAAGTCCGGCCCGAGAATTGTAAAAAAAGGGGTGTATTTGACTTTTCACCCGGAGATTTATTTAAAAAGGGGGTGTTTTTCTTTTTTTCTATCATCTCTTTGGACTCCTGAAAAAATTATTCCGAATTTAGGGGGGTACATTGAGCATTTTTCCTGATTTAGGGGGGTCTCCAAAGCAGGAAAAGCCCGCGAAAAGCCCGCGAAAAGCCCGCGAAAAGCCCGCGAAAAGCCCGCGAAAGGGGGGTTCGGAAATGTTGGCAGTCCTCAGATAGGGGGTGCTTTCAAAAAGAGGGTACGAGCATATGCGTACCCTAAATAACACTGAGTGGGGGGGCCGTAGAATACAAATATAAAGGAATAAAAAGTAATTATCCTTTCATTATTGCACAAAGCAAATTAAAACCTCATTTTCTGCACCCCTTCAAATTAGATGGTCAAAAGGGGTCAAATTTGCTGAAGTTACAGTGATGACATAACATGTGGACCCGACCAGTTCATCTTTATAGCCGAGGCGATGAGCTGTGCTTTATTAATGCAAAGTCATTGTGAATATGAATACTCCAGATAAGATGATGTCATCAAGTCGATAGCAAGTTTTTAGGTCGACAACTTCCGATTTTCAAAGCTTTAGATTTTGAGTTTTCAGAGAGCTGATTCTTCTCTGACAGACACTAAAATGGCATATAATTGATATTATTGTAATCTATGGTTTATAAGCTTTCCGTTGATAAATTATTCATCCATTTTATTTTTCAGTACAGAGCAGTCAAATGAAGTGTTAAATGTACAGTGAAATCTCCTTCAGTGACTACCTGTATAGATAGATTGTGAAGTTTTGGTAGAAGAGTATTTCTCATTGCAATGAGTAAAAAAGGAACCTGTACATAAAGACCACCTGCCTACTCAATTCTTCTCTTCCTTGAGTCTTTATATCTCTGGTCATTTGGGCATTGATCATTCAATCACTGTGTCATAGTCATTCCATTTCTGGCACGGCATCATCCTTAGGCAAGGCATTTCGTCTACAATGCTTCTCTCAACCCAGAAGTGCTAGTTGGTATTGAACATGATGCAAACATGATTGACTAGCATTTGCCCACCTGTACAAGGCCACAGGGTGGAATGCTCTCTTGTGGAGAGGAGATGGTGCACATTATGAACAGAATATTGAGTTGTAAGACTTTTAGCACTTTAACATGTAGTAATGTAAATATTACTTACTATATTGTTCTCATTTTATGGCAAGTACAGATTACTCGAGGAATGGTTGAAGCTCATACATAATTCGACATTAATCCACAGGAATGGGCGCAAGAATACCCCAGTTGAATCCAACAGGAAACGCACACCACTTGAAAATCTAACCACCTTTAACGAATTAAAGCTGCCAATGTTTTACTCCTATACAAAAATTGGATAAGAGTCAGTGTGTGATTGGCAAACAGCGGACTTCTGTGTTCTCTTGACAACCAATCAGAGGCTTGCTCTTGCCCTTCCTTATTCATCATCTAGAGAGAGAACAAAAATAAAAACAGGATAAATGTAAATTTTGACTCATTTTTAAACTATTGCAACACAAAGATTTTCTTCCAGACGTAATGGCCTAAATCAACTCAAAACCCAAACAATAATATTTTCTTCATTAGCAACTGAACTTCTATCTTTGATATCATTTACAATACTACTACTTTCATCATCATCATCAATTTTATCATCATTGTTGTTGTTATTATTATTATTATTATTATTATAATGCCTCCACCTATCGAAGGTGATGCTGGAGGCATTCAGTTTTGGGATTGTCCTTCCGTCAGTCCGTCCCACTTTCATGTTATCGCAAGAACCACTTGGGACCATCAAGCTTGAAGTTCATATCTCAAGAACCACTTGGATATGAACATCAAACTTGATTTTAGTATATAGTCACATTTGTCTTTTTATCATTATTCATTATTATTACTATTATTTTTTTTTTTTTTTATTATTATCATTATCATTATCATCAGGATCCTTACTATTATTAAAATTACTATTATCATTATTATAATTATTATTAGTATTACTATCATTGTGATTGTTATTATCATGTAATCATTGTAATTATTAATACTCTTAACAATTATAACACTGTATTATATCATCATCATCATCATCTTTATCACCAGCATTCATAGCAAATTTTATTTAATTTAATGTCATTTCTTTATTGTGTCCTTCATAGGGTAATTGTTTATATTTACATGAACAATCTTGCTTCAACATATGAACATAGGAACAACATATAATTGACAATCATAGGGCCCTGTTTTAGTACACATTTAATATAATATACATGATCATTATGAATATACTTTTTAACACTCTTTCGTTTTCAAATCATACCACTGATTATCATAGTTATACCTCTTGTCAAGTTCTTGTACTTCCCTTAGGTGATTAGAACTTTGCTTCTTTTTCCTCTTTTTCTTAGATTTATCTGCAAAAAAGGAAAATTACACAACAAAAATAAGTATCCAATGTTACAATGTCGCATAATCATTACACAAACATGTATGTGATGGTGGATAACTTTATGCCAATTTGTGTTGTTGTGTTGTTGCAACAGAGTAAAGTACCCTAAAACAAGACATTTCTTATACAGTAACGCAGGCATCTTGATCTCATATTCGAAAGGATCAATCTGGATATACACATAACTATATTAAATAGGAAAAGAATGAGAGAAAAAAATCAATTGCAGCAAATTATTAATTATAAACGTCCTGAAGTCTCTACAACTATTTATTACATCCTCCAAAAATGAATATGGATGATGATTCTTTTCAAATGTCATTGTATTTGTCCTAATATCATTATCTATACATATCTTTCCAAGTACCAATAAAGACCCAAATCTTTATAATCTGATATGACAATGGATAGTTTACAACTAAATTATTCATACCCCTTGTAAATTCAATTTTGTTTTTCATGTTTTCTTAACCAAATAATGAAAGATGGATTGGTTGAATGAGGGTCTCTGTGGAATACTTGACAACTTGATAAGGGTATGAATAATTTACTTGTTAACTGTATGTTAGCTTCCCTCAATTAATGTCATTATTTCTACACAGCCTTAACTCTAATGTTATAAGAATAATGAATCTCACCAACTATATTATGTCGTATTGGCTCTAGGACATCTGGTCGCTGCCTTATCTGGTCTTTTCCCTCTCTCCAATGATTTCTGGACAGGAAAAAAAAGGAAGACATTTATTAGAATAACAAGAATGATCAGAATAATAATGTAACAATGATGTGCTAACATTAGTGTTTATAAAAAGTATCAATTGCTTAACATACCAAAGTTGCTGCTTTACATGACCTAAAAATTTGTATCATAAGTACAGGGTCTACACTAAATCTTATGTATCAATATTCAGTAGCTTACAGGTACTGTTTATGATAGTTTACTTCAATAATTAAAGTTTGAAATAAGTAAAAATCTCAGTTTCGAATTTGTAGTTAATGGGACTGACAAGGAGTCAATCTGGGGTTGTGGGGCCGAAGTTGAGAAACACTGCTCTATGGTGATATAAACATTGTACATCAACATGTACATGTACTATTTGCAAAGTACCATTATAAAATATGTATAAAATGATTTTCAGTAACTCTAGGTTAAATCATCAGCCGGCTGGCAGAAGGGCGTTAGCGTGCGAGTGACTCGAAAACTACTTTTCGAATTATTCACATTTAAAAATTTGTTTTATATTTAAACTGCTTTCCATCCTGGAAATCGGTTTAAAACTTAAAAGACTTATAGAAATGTACTAGTAGAATACGGCCACAATTTTTTTTCAGAAATAAGTCAGTTTTATAAAAATTTGTGGTGATTTAGTGCTAACGCCCTTCTGCTACCCAGGTGACGAAATGTGCCACATACAACAAAAAGTATATATCCCTTTATTTAAAAATGAAATGAAAAATCTCTTTTTGTACACATAACCGACGGGTACTTTTGGGTATATCACTACTATAAATCAATGGTAATATCACAAGATTTTATATTCATGGATGAAACAAATGATTAAAAGACAAACGTTGTGTGAGACACATTGCATACAACCGCCTTCTTGACAATTCATGATATTCATATGAAGAATGGACATATGGAGGGCATTCAAGAGACATCAGGGAGGTGTTTCACACAGATCCTAAGTTGAACTTATCTCTAAGTTGGACTTCACAACTATGGAAAGCCGTAAGCATCTTTGAAAGTACTTTGTAAAAGTTATTTTAAAAGGCATAAAATGTTGATTAAAATCATTCATATTTGCTATCATCAAGTAGAGTTCATGTTCTTGATGTGGAATTTATGAAAAGTCTAAAATACTTGAATTTTTGCTTTTGAATGCATTTTATTTTAAGGCTACAAATGGCTCTCCATACTTTTTAAGTCCAACTTAGAGTTAAGTTCGACTTAGGATCTTTGTGAAACACCCCCCTGGTGACGGAGGCTAACAGAAATGATGACAGACTAGACTTACTCCCATGATTCCCAGGTAAGAGAAGATGACCTTTGCTGGATGAACCCTGCTGGGGGTGGTACTGACAGCTCACCCGGCGAGTCTAGTTGGGAACAAAGTAATAAACAATCAATGGAGTCGTCAGTAGGTGTTTTGATATCTTATGCATGTGTATGATTATTGAGGCGAGTCTGGTACTGTGAAACCTGCTCCAATATTCCACCTATATAGATAGACCACCTGTATATAAAGACAATTTTTTTGTCTTTACACATTCTCTGCTAAAGTGTTCAAAAAGTGACTTTGTGTCGCTGGCAGTCCTGATCTGTTCACAGCCTTGCTTTAGTAAATCAACTTATTCTCAGTCATGTGATAAAAGTGTATGGGGTCAGAGCAGGTGCAAAAAACCTTATTTAACTTATTCAACTTATTTGACTTTTTTTCTATTGAATTCTTTATTTGCGACCAATGTTAAGCACTCTCTTACAAGGACCACATTTGAGATTGTATGACAGCTACATAACCATGATTTATTTCCTTATTTTATAGGCCAAAAAACTCAACACTGTCAAATGAAATTTCTTATGAGACGTAATTTAGCATTGCATTTCAAACACAGTGTGGCTTCATGATTGATTGATGATTGCGAACTAAGAAAAATTTGTGACGTAATACAAGACGACAAAATCGTGCACACTGTTATTCACACAACAATGACATTTGAATGCGAAGGACAGTGAAGACCCTTGATAATTTTATCGATGGCTTCATCTTCTTAGTATGGCTTCATGCCTTTAAGTGGAAATGTATTAACTTTCCCTCTGATTATCCAAGCTTATCTAAGTCCGATGACTATTCTACATGGTGGTCAATGTGGTCGATCATTGTAAACAAATTATTTAGTGGCATCAATATTGCCAGATACGTTACCATACTTGCCATTTCTATAAAATATTTGTAACCGTGTTGCATGTAACATTTCAATTAAATATCATTCTTGATTATGATGAATGTTTGCACACTTTCAAAAAAAACTAACACACTATTTTCAAGTTAGTGGTCAAAATACGATGATTTAAATGAAGAAATTTGTATCTTTTAATGTAAAATAAATGTGATTCACCACTAGTGAAATAATAATATTGAAGTAAAAAATTATCAGTATTACTTCATAAAAGTGGTTTTCGCAGGAAGTGTTGCAAAGTTCTATATAAATGCACCATCATACGTCTTTTTAATATATGTTGACAATAAAGTGATCTCTGACTACTTTTTTTCCCCAAAAAAAAGGTTTTGATACAAATCACCCATTAATTGATTTTATTCCCATAAGTAGAAGTTTGTTAATCTAAAATATTTTTATGATTGGTCAATATTATTCTGTCATTTGTGCTACCTGAATTGTACACTTTGGCAGAGAATAGCCCTTGACTGGTCTTTATATACCAGGGTACAGGTTTTGATAATCCCTAAGTAGCATTTCCCTGATACTGATAATCACTGCTGATACTAGCTAAAATAACTCATCACCCCTCCCCCTAACAATAACCAACATTGTGCATTTCCAGGACTAAAGAACGATGTCTACTAAAAAAGAAGAAGAAAAAAATAAGAAAAAAGGAGGGTTCCGTACACTAAAAATTGATTTGGCATGAGTCTTCTGACAGGTAGTTTGTCCATGGTGGATCATTTCTTAGATTGGTAAACTGGTAGGGGGGGTACTGATCCATAAAAATAAAATGGTTTATCTGATCCACATGCTTGATAATAATCTAGATCTGTACCTCATATGTCTTTAACAACAGACATATTAAAGTATCTATTTATTGGGCTACCCAATCAGATTGATTGAAGGGGGTCTACCCTGTAAGGACTGGTCTCCCATCAGTTCAATAGGCAAACATGGCCTAGATGATTTTGGTGATGCAGCATATGCATTCCTGTATATCAACAGTAGGCCGTGAGAAATACCACTTGCACTGGCCCTGGAATCTTGGAGATCTTTGGGGAGTTTCAAAAAGATTCTAAGTCAAACTTGACTCTAAGTTAGACTTAAAAGTTATGGGGAGCCATTTGGAGCCTTAAAATAAAATATATTCAAAAAAAAAAATTGAAGTATTTTAGACTTAATTTTTCATAATTTCCACATCAAGAACATGATATCTCCCATGATAATAGAAAATATATATGATTTAAATCAACATTTTATGCCTTTTAAAATGTCTTTTACAGAATAATTTCAAAGATGCTAATGGCTTTCCATAATTGTTAAGTCCAACTGTTAAATTCAACTTAGGATCTTTGTGAAACATCCCCCAGACCTGTCCAGAGCTCTAGCAAATGAGGTACTACAAAACTTAAAACCCTTACCAAGTCTCCTTGGTTTGGCAGAGATGGGGGCAAGCTTAGGACTGTTTGGTCGTCCCATGAAGCCATAGTGATCCAGACTAGAGCGTGCCCGCCCACTAGCTGGTCTTCCTGTTTTAATCTGCTGATGACTCCCTGTAAAAGGTTAAACAGAGAACGTATTACAGGTTACAATACCTGTATTACAACTTCACATGGTCATCAAAGTAGTTGAAATTGTTGCTAGTTTGGCTAAGAAAAAGTATAACCAAACGCATCCATGAATATTTAAAACTAATTCTCATTAAGAATAACAAACAATTAGAGATGCATTTGTAGAGCAGTATGAATAACTCTAAAATTATAGCTATTGTCATAACTGGAGGAGAGCAGACAGGAAAAAGACCCATTTGGAAAACAGAAAATCAATGCCACTAATAGAGCATCTTGAGAGTTCCTTCAACCGGTAAAATGTTTACAGGCTTTAGACAGATTTTATTTGCTCATTAAAAAAGGCTCTAGAGAGACCGAGAATGACGTATGTTGCTGAGGGTGGCCAAGACCCCCCTCCCCCCCCCCCCCCCCCCCAAGCTTCTTGCCTATCATCTGAATTTGTCCCCAGTCCCACTTCTGACGGAAGAAATAGATGGGCACTCTGCATTTCACATTAACATACTTAGGAAACTACTCAGAATGTAATTCTTATAACATTTGCCATACATCCTGATTACAATACCATCCAGCATGCTTTTAGCAATGTGATGACAACATATCAACTCATCTAGGATGGACATTTTTTTCAAGGACCAATTTGATCATTTTTTTCTACTCTAGGTTTTCAACACTATGCCTAAAAAAAAAAGGTGTTGTATTGCCCTTGGCTACCGACTTGAAGCTTTCAAAAAAGAAAAATATCATCCAAAAAGAGGGAGTAATAAAAATAAAAAGTTTAAAAAAAAAGATTTCTGACCGACCGACTGACCCATGTTTGGGAACCTAAAGGGCAATACAATATCTTTTTTTTTTAGGCCCTATAGTAATACTTTTATTGCTACATTGCTTAAATATAGTTAACTAAATTACCTGAAAGAGATATACATCTACATGGATATATAGTATTTTTAAAAGTAACATTTTTATAGAATATGTGTGATTATGTTGCTTTTTAAAGGATTTTAAAGCCCCACTTCACTACCTGTAGCTACTTGCTCCCTCTATATAGAAAACAATGTCTAAGCGGTGCCTGTTGGTCCCCCATGATCCTCTTTTTCTTATGTTAATTGAGAGCTGAGTTGATGAGGTAGCCACCTGCCAGTGATCACCCTGGGTGGTCTTATCCCTCCTGGCTTTAAAGACTCTTTTCAATTTAAATCCCATGGTGTCAAAAGCCTAATCTTAACACATTGACAATGGACATAGCATCTGCAGGATTTTTGTCTATCCCACTTAAGTATCTGGTCATATATTTTATATGAGAATGAAAATAAAAGTTATTAAACCAAAACGCAAATTGGGGGCTGTTGATATTCAACTTGTCATGATAGTCTTTATCATCTACCTCCTGGAGTCTTCTGCGCCTCCAGGATTTCCTTGGCTTGTTGTTGCAGTACCTCTGCGTTTGGCATCGCCCTAAAGAACGGTTTGACAAGGAGGGAAGATCCAGAGTCCATCAGTCTTCCGGCATTAGAGCTGCTGGAATCTTCTTCTCTTCCATCCTTCCTACCACCTGCAAAGACAAAAGATCGCATCTTCCTTCAGCCACTGTAATTACACCAGGGGAGGCAGACATGTTTGTGCCATGTTAAAGCCCCACTGCACTTCTTATAGCTACTTGCACCCTCTATATAGCAAACAATGCCTAATCGGTGCCTGTTGGTCCCCCATGATCCCCTTTTCAGCTGATTTGATGAGATAACCACCTGTCAGTGACCTTGCAGGGAGGTCTAATCCCCCAGGCCAAACTAGTGCAGACAGGATTTAAAACAAAATGATGTGAAACAAGAAACTCTCCCATGCAGAAAACATTCATGAATTCATGAGTTTTTCAGATTAAAAAAAGTGGCATGCTGTGATGTAGCTAAATGACAATTTACCCAACACTAAATTGTTGCAATGAGTAACAGTTTCTTGCTGTGGAAAAATTGCTGTCCCTGGCAAACACAAAAGTTTTTTGTTACAAAGTTTGTGGTTTTACATTATACACTAAATTGTTTAAAAAAAACTAAATTCACATGGAGTAAACTTATATTGGTGATTGGGAATCTCTCTCTGTGTCAATATCTTTTTTCCCCACCTCTCTCTCTCTCTATCTCTCTATCTCTCTCTCTCTCTCTCCTTTACATAAAATTTCTAAGCAAAGTGATCATGAAGAGCAAAATTCCCCCCCCCCCCCCCTCTTGAAGAAAAGAAAAGAAAAGAAAAAGATGAGTAACATGCATTCCAACAGCATCCAGCACGAAGCAAGCTACACTTGATACAGCCATTATCCATTCAATAACCAGTTCCCTATTTCGATTATATTTTATGTCTCCTTTTTGGTGACATTTTGAGTTGTGTAAAGACAGACTATTTGAACCTATCTGAATACTTTTAATCATTATGTATAATGACATAAAGATTGTTTTCTTTCATTTCCATGTGTTTATAATAGATTTGGATTCTTACAAATAAAATTCAATGACAAAAATTTAAATCAGGGTTCATCTCATAGCCAATTAGTAATAGTTCCTACATGAGCTTTTATATTCAGCAATTAATAGAATGCTGTATCAAGATACATGTAATCCAAGAAGACCATAATTGATGTTCACCATTATTCTTGAAATTACAATTCTGCAACCTTTCTCAAAATATAAACAGAAATAACTGCTTGTGATTTCATGGAGGCTTTCGTTTTTAGACAAATTAGATCTTCTAAATAAATTTGTGTACATGTATGTTCACCTTTCATGAAACTTGAATAAATCATAGCATAAACTATCCCTTGCGGATTTGCTACAGACAAGTATTTGCCTACTGTTCTGTAATAGGCATATACACAAACGAAATGGTACCTGCATGCATTATTGATCTAAGACATCACTCCATCATGCCCCTCGCGCCGACCGCGTCCAATCTATAAAAAAAAATTATACGCGTTTTCTTGGTCATGCATGCTTACAGCATTTATATTTGACTGTGTCCCCAGGCATAATGCACACTGCAATCTTATATTGTTAACAGTACTAGCAGATCAATTTATGACGCTGATGATTGAGCATGGCACTCCAGCTAATGGATAGATCAGCTAACATGGCAGACAGAATTTCCCTCTTAATTATCAGAAACAAACACACAAAATAAATGTTACCTGTTGTTCCATTGGTTACCACGGTAACCTGATTTTGAGGAGAGCTGAGGGAGAGGTTATCCAGTATAAAGTCCGCATGTTTGGGGGATGAAGGGTAGCTAGAACCTATATGTGGTTCCGACACGGAATGTTGGAGTTCACCTTCCATGGGCTGTCTCCTCCGTGGTTTCCTCCTACTCGCTATTTGCGTGTCGTGGTCTGTCCTACGGTGAAGATGCGTCGATGAGTTCTGATCGTCCAAATGACTTTTCCCAACATTGGCTGTAGTTCTTGATTTGTCGGCATTTATATTCTTGTCCTCCGTTGAGAGAACGGGATCGTCCGATAACACATCAAAACCTATCGCACCTTTCGTAGATCCATGCCTTGCAGCATCGTTTTTTGTTCTAAGTATAGATTCTGATCTCTGAACACTGCCCTCGTGTGACAAACCACTGAAGACATCTTCAAAGTTACCATCCTGTTTCTTCTCTGCATTGCTAAATTGCGATTTGGTATTCTTTCTCTTGTCTAACCAGCTGGTGAGAAAGGCAAAACGTTTCTTCTTCACACCGTCCTTGGTCCCTTCCGATTCTGCAGGTTCCTCCATATCCTGGCCCAGACCGCATTCGGTCCCCTCGAGGAGCTTTGTTGCCTCGCTCTTCCCAGCCTGGATGCTGTATTGGTGTGGCGTGCTCCCGTCGAGGTCCACGGGCGAGGGACACACCCCCAGCTCCAGTAGCACCTTGACACAGTTGACATGACCTTTGACCGCTGCCCAGTGCAAGGGTGTCCTGGTTGACCATAGTAACAGAACAAAGATGCAGAGACAAATCAATGTGACTATATAACTAGCAACATGTATGGCAATTACAAAGACTTTTCATGTGAAAATTTTTAATTCTAAAGCAATTTAGAAAATTATAATTCGATTATGAAGAATATTCCTCCATGACAGACAAAGACAGCTAGTCTGACAGGCTTAAATTAAGCCATCTTTCTTCTTATTATCTGCTCAGAGCTATAAGGCATTAAAAAAAGAAATGTTCTATTGCCCTTTTGCGACCAACCCAAAAATCTTGAAATCTTAAGTCAGCTTTAAAAATAAAAATGTTTTATAGCATTCAAAACAGAAATGTCAGCCCAAAGAGGGAGAAAAAAGAAGATGAAAAAGGGGGGGGGGGGGATTCTGACCGAACTGACCAATGATTTGGCACCTAAAGGGCATAACTACATCTTTTTGTTTAGGCCTAAGGGCATTAACTTACACACAGAAACACCCTTATGGATCTCAAAAAATGTAAAGATCGATCTAGCTCATGTACCTTTCATCTGGATCTAAGGCCTCAAAGTCTACACTGGGAATCTGGGCAAACTCCAGCAGGATTTCATGGTGTCCTGCAGCCGCTGCCAGATGAACGCAAGTCTTCCCTGTGGCTTCCGTTGCGTTGATGAGTGGGGCGCCCCCACTGTGACACTTGGCCATGACGGAACTGCACACAAGACTGCCATTCTTTATAAAAAGAGGACAAAAATATATAGCTATATATATATAGTTCAATTCCATTTATTAATTCTTCTCAAGCATAAAAACAATATCATAATATATATAAAAATGACAAATATACATATAGTAAGAGTAAAAACAGAAACTACAAGAAGTTTAATAAAAACTTGTATGGAGTAGTTCCCAGTAAAGGGAAAAATACATGGTATAAACAATAGCAATAACAAATGTATGTTCACTATACAATTGATTTGAGATCCAATCTGATCTGACTTTATAACTCTATCGTTATGTTAGACTTATGTTGGCGTGTTAATTAGCACATACATACATAGATGCTGCTGTGGTCATGAAGAGAATCAGGTTCTCTAACACGTACATGCTGCTGCAACATTTGCTCTGTCGTCATTTTCCTAACCTGATCGACTAAGCAGAGGGCAGGTTCTCAAGGAGGGGGGGGGGGGGAGGGCGGGGGTCGCAATAGAGTCTAATATCTTTCACAAGCCTCCCTCCAAATGTAGACATCATGCCTCGCGTTTTATATTGGTGCCTTTTGAGTAAAATAATTAATCTCTAACAAACAAAATTATCAGAAAGGCAATATCACATTATTTGAAAAACAACATGTTTATTTCTTGTAGGCAGATGACACCTCCCCCCCCCCCCCCCCCTTCCCTCCTGTCTGTGGATCTACCAATGTTATTGAATGTACTGGGAGATTGTGTACTAGAGGATGGTGTAGTTGCTATTTAAAGAGGTAATTGTATTGAATTTTCAGTCATCTTAGAGAATATTGGGGTGTACAAGAGGTGGTTGTTTAGGGAGTTACATGTCATCTCTCTGATGTCATCACACATTGGACGTAGGATTGAGTGACTAGTGACAACATTTGGATTAAATATGAGTTGGTATCCAATAAATTGTCAGCTAAACATGGCTTGAGAGCAGATCGATGGGGTTTTAACACTATCACGGAGAAAATCTACAAATGGAACACTTGATACCTCATGATTGTATCCATGTAGCTTGCAGACACTTTCATTTATATTTCTGTCAACACCAACATGCTCACTCTCCCTTCTCCAATTACACTCTTTCTCAGGTTTCATTAAACTGACTCATGAAATATGCAATGGATATTGGATAACCTGGACTAGCTACGCCCCCAGTAAGCCGTACATAATTCAGATCTTATTCAGAAGTTGATCCTGTGATGTTCAAACTGACGTCAGAAGTGGTGATCAAACGCACCCATCTAATCCCCACGACTACAAGCCCGGGGGATTCTCTTTCTCCACATTCTGCATTTCAATCTAAATTAAATATGGACAGAATTCAATGGATATAACTGGAAAAAAGGGGCATCCTTTTTTACTTCATTTAATTCACCCATTTCATCAAAGATTTGATTGCATGTCTGCAATCCTCCAGGCATGTTTAATGTCACTAAGTTACACCTACAGGTACAACTACATTAAAGATAAACTTGAGTTCTGGTAATGCGATTGCATTGTGAAAGAAAAGGTGTGGAATGGATCAGAAAAGTTGATCATATAGCATGTAAGTAATGGTGTGTAATGCAAGGTTTTGGAGTCTTCAAAATCATCATTAATTTGGCAGAGTCTTGGTAAAGTAACAATCACTTACACAGAAAGATGTATATGGGACAACACACATGGTGTCGGGGCTAGTACTACCCTGATTTCCTTATCTTTCTATGCTCATTACTCAGCCAGTATACATTTTCTTCCAAAATTGTTTGGCACATGACATTTATTTGTAACCTAAGCTTGAACATTCAGTATAAGTTTCGTTAGATTCTGTGAGAATTCATTTTCTTTTTTTACCAGAACTCAAGTTTATCTTTAACTATTGTCTATTCATAGTCAGAAGGCCAGGGCGTTGACTCTGTTCTAGCAAATGAGTTAATGAATGCCCTTCTGGCTCCAAACAGACATAATGACTTTATCCTTTCTTTACCATTACAAAATGCTCACATGTATGAAGAAATTGCCTTTAACATGTAAGAGGACACGTTCATGTAAGTGTATAGATTTCTTTGACAAGGAAACAAAGAGAAAGGTAAAGACGTCATTTTTCAGAAGCATTGTACTAACAAAAAATTATAAGCATTAAGCAAAAATCTTTGACAAGCAATTAAGAATGTTTGTTGTGTGTATACATAATAAAAGACCAGACATGAAAGAGTTTCTTATCTACGCTGAACATGATGTATTAAGCGTGTTATCAAAACCATACGATGCATGTACACTATTCCTTAAGTCAAATATATGCTTGCCTAATATAGGCACCATACTGTAAGGATGCAAGCATGCAGGAGAGAAGAAAGAGATAAATAAAGAGAGAATTTCCACATGGTATATCGTAACCATGACAACAATTACATGGATGGGAGAGTACGTGTGTGGAGGCGTGTATATTGGCAGGATGAGGAAAGCTTTCTACGGAAGGGACAAATTAAATCCTTCAATAGCTGGCACACCATGCATGGCCTGTCTCACAAACAGTTGATATCAATCACAAATATGTACATAAGAGATAGGAGACTGCAAACTTACGATTGATTGGAGGACTCGCGACTGATTCAGATCAATCGCAAGTCTTTATAACCCAAGGCCCAGAAGGCAGGGCTGTCAACTTTGGGGAACTGCTTCGAGGGAGATCGTATGCAATTTTGGGGGGCTCATTAACCGGGGAGGGGGAAGGGGGAGGGGGGGGGGGAGGGGGGGGGTGTTGACTCTGTTGAGTACAACAAAACAAACAAAATTGAAGTGCTAGCTGTCTACCCTCACTGGAGGGGGGGGTTGAAAATTTTTATTTTTATTTGGGTGGGGGGGGGGGGGGTCCCCATCTACAGAACCACTACAAGCCCAAAGCTCTAATGTTTGTTCCTTAATTCCCCCTTCTAGCAAGGATAAATGTATTTACCGTTGCCTACTGAAATATGTAGTATCTTTGACAAAATTAAGACCAGACCTATTGTCACAGGAGCAAATGTCTGGTCACAGATGGGGCATACAGTATATGTGTATACTTTGCAGTCAATCTTTTGTGGACTTTACAGGTCACTTGCAGTCAATTTCATTCACTCTCCATTTGATTTGACTTGTAAACACAAAACAGCTTAAAAACTTCCAAGTACGACAATTCACATCCATCCAAATTCAACATTCGTCCTCTTGGGAAGAAGTACATGGATCTTAAACACTTACTTTAACCGGTGTAGAATTTCCACTTCAGCCACCACTTTGGTGTTAAGTACAGACTCGCAAAGACGCGACATGTTTTTTTCTTCTTTGAAAGCAAGCATGTGTAGATGATGGAGTTGAAGACCTTGAATCTAACAGTCTAACCTTCTATTATGCGCTAATGCTTTCCACTTCAGCCACCACTTGGGTGTTAAGTAAAGACTCACAAAGAAGTCGATGTTTTTTCTTCGGAAGCAAGCACATGGAGATGATGGGAGTCGAAAACCTTGAATCTAACAGTCCAACCTTCTATTATGCGCCTATGCTTTCCACTTCATGGCCGCCAGTTGGGTGTTAAGTACAGACTCACAAAGAAGTTGATGTTTTTTCTTCGGAAGCAAGCACATGGAGATGATGGGAGTCGAAAACCTTGAATCTAACAGTCTAACCTTCTATTATGCGCCTATGCTTTCCACTTCATGGCCACCAGTTGGGAGTTAAGTACAGACTCGTAAAGAAGCGAATGTTGTTGTAATTCTTTCTTTGAAAGCAAGCACATGGAGATGATGGGAGTCGAAAACCTTGAATCTAACAGTCCAACCTTCTATTATGCGCCAATGCTTTCCACTTCAGCTACCACAGACTCATAAAGTACAAGGTAGTTTGTTTTTTTCTCGGAAGCAAGCACATGGATTTGATCAGATTCAGAGCTGCCAACCTTGTGCAACCAAAAAAAGGAACCATGATGGCAACAAAAAAAGGAATTTCGAGCAAAAAGGAATTCGTTAAAATGAAAACTTACAACCACACGCGACACACTTCCAATGCAGAAATTTCCAATACTCATGCTGTTATTTCCATATAAAGACCTATAGTTTATTTACAAGAAGGCTTTTTGCCGAGCCAGCAGCCCGTTGATTGGTTGAGCACCGTATGCGTCGGCCAATAGGCCTGGCGCAGTAGCCGAACCAGCGGCCTGGTGATTGGTCGATCACTGTGTGCGTCGACCAATAGGCATTGTGTGTTATTGTTCCAATTATAGACCGCTCTGCCGGTCCTCCCGTAAAGTATAAAAGACCCTTGCTTACATTAGTTTTTATCACCTGACGAAGTGTTGCATGCAGATAGCGCACGAAACGTCGTGATCTTTTAGATTCCTTATTGACCACATTGCGAGACAAACGAATATCACTAGCGATATTATTTTCGATAGGTTTTTTGTCGTTTTTTGTTGTTGGTATTATAGCTTTTTCATTCTTTTTGAGAATATTTACGGCTTTCACTTGTTTCTTTTCTTTTTTGTTTGTTTAGTATTTGTAAATTTATACTTCTCATAAATCTCTAGTGAAGACTTGAAGTTTTCTATTGAAGTAGTGATCAACATTTTAGGGCATTTGGTTGACATGCAGCATGTGCAAAAGAAAATTGTGCAATTAAAAACCGTATTTTATAAAGAAAAAACATACCGTTAATGCGCCTATACTCCTCATCTCTCTAAAGGCTCATTAACATACGAAACAGGAAGGAGCGGTTACATAAATATTCTGTTCAAAATATAGCTCTACATCACTTTAAAACTAGATGGAATTTTGACTGCGCGCAGTCGAAAATGATGCCTCCGCCATAGAGAAATTTAAACAAGTTTGGAGTTTAAATCTCCAGTGGTTCTTGAGATATCATGATAACAATCTCAATGTATGGAATTTCATAAGTTGACCTCTGTGACCCTTGACCTTTGACCTACGTGCTCCAAAATCTAATCAGATTGTCTTCCTATGGTGATACACACTATCATTA